TCCCGAGATGGGAGCTATGGTGTGTCCTGCTTGGGTCCATTGTTGGTCCACCAAGTGGGACACATGACCTCTTTGTTGCCTTTGGGGTAATGGTAGCCCCATTGAAGTTCTATTGTGGTGATCAATCAACTCTTCGTTAACAATTTCACTCCTCATCATTTTCATCAAGGCATCATAAGTGGTGGGATTTCTGTTACATACATCTCTCCAAAACTGGGTGTTCATATTGAGTCCTCCCCTTAAGGCAGAAAGAGCCTCCCTATCAGTGACTTGCTCATAGTAGGTCATTTCATCGGTGAAACGAGCCAAATAACTTTTTAGAGTTTCTCCCGCTTGCTGCCTCATGTCTTGCAGCCTTTGGATAGAGGTTTCTTCCCACAGACGACGTCAATCTGTTGACCCCAAAAAATGGTTCGATGATGTGGCCAACAGATAAGTAGAAACAAATATCCACGTAAGCTAAGATCCCAATACGTTTATGACTCAAATCACCAGTTTCTTAGATGAATCAACGAAGGGAATGATCCAAAATATTTAGTAAGATGCTGTTTTAGGTTGTTTGGTGCATAAAAAGGGGATCGGCCTTCGGGTGTAGTAGAGAGAATCAAGGTTTACTTTAAATGTGTAAGCTTGCATTAGCTTCTTAACGTATGGAGTGTGGGTTTTTATATCTAACATAGAGTGAATGAGGTCCGTCCGATGGTAGAAAATCTAATAGTTCGTATTAGTGTCAATCAATCAAGCCATTAATACTGAGATCCCCTTATCTTCACTTCTGACTTAGGATTTGACAGTGTAGGTGTGCAGAGGCGACAGTGACAGTGTGTTATCTTGTCAATCACTTTATTAGGTCTATTGTTGGTTGACTTACCGCCTCGTCGGAGATGAGTTTATGCTGGAGACCTTTGCCAACAGGGGATCAAGTGAGCAACTTTTGGATTGGGTTCTCTTCGACGCACATAGAATTGGGTCACCCGTTTGCCACATTTATGTTTATTTTACGATTATTTATATGAGTAACAAATAGTATATAATATTAAACTTATGTTTATTTTACAATTATTTATATGAGTAACAAATAGTATATAATATTACACTTTCTTTCACTTACTCATCTGTGGATAGTTTGACTATGGTATTCACAATTTTCGTTTTAGGACCTCTCCTTTTACTCTTTTCGAGCACTTTTAGTATACCGTAATCTGGGTATAAGAATAAGGGGGATTATGATGCGTTGGATGATATTAATTAAAAAAGATAATAAAATATATTTTATTTATTTTTCTTACTTTATACGTGAACTTACTCGCAATTGATTGGTTACATATAACTTATAAGTGATATAAATGAAATTTTCAGTTATATTTATAAATAATTTTTTTACTTATACATGATCATTTACTTAAAAGTAAATTTTTTAGTTAAAAGCAATTATGTACTTATAAGTAAATTTCTTACTTGTACATAATATATTTTTTTTTAAACATATAAACAAGTTTTTACCTGGAAGAAAATCATTGTACTTAATACTTATAATCGAATTTATATTATATAAGGCAAAAATAATATATTTTACTTATTTATGTTATAACTTTACTGTTCGTTCACATGTGAGGGTAAGGGTTGGGTAAAATTACAAGTCTTAACAGTGGCATGGGATAAGGTGAGAGTCGGTGTTTTCACATTAAATCAATGTCATTTTATAATTATGTGTTATAGAACAATTGTTGACAGGCACCATACAGGTGCTGACAACTCAGCACCTATGGTGCATCGTTTTTGTTTGTTTTGACAAAAGCCAATGAAATCCTGCAATGTATTATCTGTAATAAAAAAAACTGCAAAAGTTAACCGTACTTGTAGCATGATTCAACTCAATCCATCTATTTATAAGGATTAAACTCATTCGGTTGAGAAGATTCATGAATTCCGATCGAATTCTTTATCTTAATGCGTCTCAACTTTGAATCTCTAGTGCAAGAAATTATCTCCAGTCTTACGTTTTTCGATGGATAATATGTATAGCCTCAATAGAATCTGTCTCCAACATAACTTTTGGCAATCCTGTATCAAATTCAGCTCATGAACAGCATACTAAAACTAAACTTAGGTAAACTGAGGCTTTAGAATCGAATTGATGTCCACTGGAAACAGAAACTATGTTTAGAAAAAAACCTTCTATTGTTCCTTGAGATACACCTTCAAATCAAAGGTAAAATATAACACAAGCTATTTACTATTAGCACGCAGACAGAGCAGTGCAACTTTTTTTACACAGAGGTAAGTAACTTTCTTTC